TTTGTTTGCATGATTGTGTTCTTCGTTTTTGTGTCTGTGCCGTTTTGTATGTGTCAATATCTAATCCTCGGCCCAAGGCGTTTTACTGACCGATCTGAAAAGCGGTACTCAGTACCAAGCCGCCATCCACGGAAGACGCAAATACGGGGAGCTAGAGTTGATCTCGGACTGGACGAACCTCTTGACCCTGACTACGAAAGGTGAGGCTTTATGCTCTTGCATCATTGAGTAGGTTCTCGAGACTCCCAGTAAATCAGATATATGAGATGTGTTCACCCTACGTCGTCTGAGGTGATGAACGACTGGTAGTTGATTTTTTCCACAATCTATGAGTAGAGCTGACGTTTCCATTAAAGCTTTGCTTGCTTTTGGTAAAGCAAGGCTATGTGAAATTTAATGGAAATGTCAGCTCTATTCATATCATTGTGTGAAAAATTAACTATCGGTCCTTCATCACCTTAAACGACATAGGGTAAACACATATCATATGTATGCTCTTGCAGCTGCTATGACGACAAATATTGGCGCGAATGAGCTTAAAATGTGCCTTAGGCGAGGTTCACTACTCTTGCCCATTTCGACGGCCCCAGACCTAACCGACGAATCGCTTGCAAATACCCGAAACACTTGCTGATTACCTTCTCCCATAACTTGCCCATTGTATCTGAAGGACACTTTTTTATCTGGACTAAGAGCTGTATTCACCCTGTTTCTTTTAAGAGGATAACTGTTTTATCCTCACCAGAAGGTATTTCAACATTGAACCCGGTAGACTGTACGTGAATAGGCGGCAAACAAGACCTCTGAGGATCCTGAAAGATGTGACTTGACTCTCGGAAGTAATGTCCAGTTGGATTGCCTGTCAACTTTGAGTCTTTGTTCCTGCTCAAGACGGTTGAGTCCTGTTGCTCTGCGCCAGTGAAAACTTGTCATTCTTTTGTCTCTTATAGAAGGATTTAAGAAAACATGACTATGTAACTTGAAGTATGTACGAAGAGCAAGGGAGTTTCAATAAACATTTTGAGTTCACACTGTTGTGGAGACTTCCATTTCGTGTAAAAGTGCATGCTGGAGGGTTTTGCAGGTCAATCTCAATGACTAAAAAATCTCACAAGAAGCCGAAAGCTGATTCCCGCTGGCCTGAAATACACAAAACATCCTCCCTCGTTTCAGGGGAAACCGGGCAGAGCTCTCGTCCATCCTATTTCGGACATCGTCAGCGTTGGAACTCATTCTTGCAAAAGTCAAGAAGACTTTCCGACTCTATACTTCATACTATATATATATATATACATATACATATACATACATACATGCATACATACATACATGCATACATACATACATACATGCATGCATACATACATACATACATACATACATACATACATGCATACATACATACATACATACATACATACA